TAAATACATCGAAAGGAAAAAGGGATTATCAACAAATCAATGAGAGAGAGGATCAACAGTTCCTCCTCTGCCAAAGAAGCCGCCCTCTAGAAGAAAGAACCTTTCAAAACCTGAAGACGGTCAATCCCACAAGAACGATCACAAGACAAAATTCTCAGTGGATGAACTTCTCAAGGATCAAAAAAAGTCGAATATCTCAATATTGAACTTGTCACTGCTTGAGAAGGGTCCTTATATACCCAACACAGTGCATGTGAAACCTAAGTATGGACTTACGTTCATTGACTATGATGGTCATTACAGGTTTCAGTGAGTATCCGAGTTCCATGTTTGCCCTATAGATCACTTAGAATATCTAAGGACTTGGCTAAATGAAGATCTATTTGGAGAGATGATGAAGCGCAAGATCAAAAAGAAAATGCTCAGACGGAAGAAGCTTGGAGAAGATATCCCTGAGTACATCAACTTCAGCAATCTAGATTAAACATCCTTTCAATCTTGTAATATCTTTTATTTCTTATCTTTTCTTTCAGTGTATAACATTTATGTATTAGGTCTACCAATGCTGATTATAATAACTTGTAATATTTTCCCTTGAAATATATTCAATAAAATGATCAGTTCTTTGAAAAAAGAACCCTGAAAAGAGTAAATAGAGCATGTATTTGTGAAATCTATTTATGTCTTACATACACCTTTTTAGTCAGTGAGTATGTTTTCAGTTTTTGTTATTAATATTGTGTAAGTTTATGCTTTCAGCGATAAGAAGCTCATCTACACAAGTGTGAAATCTACGCAAGATTTAATGAACACTAATGAGACCTTCAGTGTCATTCCAGTTTTCAGCGATCAAATGAATCTTGTTGAGCAAGATAGTTTTTGTCTTATCCTTCAGCGCATAAAAGACAAACTCATACCTTTCAAAGTAAAGCATTGTACAGAGTCACTCCATTGTCTCCAAGCGTGCTTACCTACTTTATTAAAAAAGACTGTTCATATACGGTCAAAAGACTGTATACTGCAACAAAGGACATGATTACCTCTTAAAGCTTGCCACGTGCTTTGTACCTTCTGAATTGCATTTAATGCAATGAGTATAAATAGTTGAGTAGATCTCTCTTCTCAGTTACATCTTCCTCATCTTATCTTACCCAAGAAGATACTTTTATTTCTACTCTATGTCTAAGAAAAAGACCCACTTTAACAAAGTGAAGAACATATTACTTATTGACCTTTTTCTTGTAGCAAGTCTTTTCTTCTTGTTATCTGTAATTTTGTATGTATCTTTGATTGTTTAGATAGGTTCTATTTCCTCGATATTACTGTTACACGCCATTTTGGACATTTATTTCTATCTCAACGGGCGTATGCTCTCGAGATCATTGAAAAAGCAGGCATGACATCCTGTAAACTGGTTCCCACTCCCGTGGATACCAAGGCCAAGTTGGGTACTGATTCCAGTGCTCCTTTCACCGACCCAACTCATTATCGGAGCGTTGCTGGTGCTTTACAATATCTTACCTTCACTCGACCCAATATTACCTACACAGTTCAACAGGTCTGTCTTCATATGCATGACCGTAAAGAATCTCACATGTTGTCTCTAAAGCAAATTCTCTGCTACCTTCAAGGTACACTCGAGTTCGGTCTACATCTTTACCAAACCTCTACCACCAACCTCGTTTCTTTCACCGACGCTAATTGGGGTGGTTGTCCAAACACTTGACGCTCTTACAAGCGGTTATTGCGTTTTTCTTGGCAACAACCTACTTTCTTGGTCTTCTAAACGGCAACCCACGTTCGCTCGGTCTATTAAATAAAAATCCGATATATTTTCACGTAATTAATGGGACAGAAGATTATAAATATATTGTGTCCCAATATTTCCATGGTTCTTGGAAAACATCATTAAATTTAGGATCTTCATATAGGACTTATTAATTTATTAACCTCCATGTTTTTTGGAGTCCAGATCAAGAACTGGTATTTCTTACGATCAGAGCTTCTTTCTCCCCTCATCTCTCTCTCTCTCTCTCTCTCTCTCTCTCTCTCTCAACAAATCAAAGAAATCAAATTTACTTCCATTTGCACACCAAAATTTCTAGTTTTCATCATGTGGGTCTATGTGTTCCATCACCTGCATTGCCTTTTTCTTCAATCTTTATCAATATCTGTTTAAATATGATTGTTCACAGGTGAGTTAGTTAATTTGGTTCAATTTCAAACAACCCTAATTATAGCTTTTCTTGTCAAATTCATCATATTCTTTTTTTTCTCCATGCATCTTCTTGGTACCCATTTCAGATTTTACTCAGGAAAAAGGATTATATGCATATGCATATGCATATCTATATGTATACGTATATGTGTATGTATATCTCTATGTATATGTGTATGTGTATGTATGTGTATATATGTATGTGTGTGTTCTTGTTATTATGTACACTGTGTGAATCACACACACAAACACTTATCTTGTGTGTGAAATTAAAGATCATGAGCTATTTAATTCACTTTGATTGATCTATATTCTATTTACCAAGTTCATAGTTTTGTGGAATTGTTCAATTGTATATTCTTCTGATTACCGTTTCTTTACTACGATCTGTGAAATCTTGTCTAGATGAGTTATAATGCATAGATGATATATATTGATTTTACGTTCATATCATCATCTAATGATATACCAATAGGTTCAAATTACTACAACAAAATCCGCTTTATAAGAGACCAAATTTGTCTTAATGCCTCAATAGACTGTTTTATAAGATTCAAGTTTACACGCACAAAGAATTGTGCATCCCGTATAGGTATTCATATGTTGATATGACACTGTTTGGACATTCTTAAAAACTTGTTGAGGTGCCCAATTGTCTGGTCTAATAAACTTAATTCCTATAAAACAGTTTATTATGATATTTAGACATATTTGACATCTTATAAACCCGATTCCGTTACAGTAAATCGATATTTCCCTTTTGCTGATCCCAAAAAACATAATTCATATTATGGGTTCAGTTTGCTTTTAGATTCACATTGCTTTTATGGAATCATGAAGGTACAAAGATTGGGGACTTTCAAGAAATCTTGTTGATGCTGATGCATTATAAGTAAACTCAAATCTCTCAAGAAATTGTGTGTAGAAAAGTGAAAAATGAAGACAGGAGCTGTGACTGTAGCCCTTGCTGCCACCATTGGCAACTTGTTGCAAGGATGGGATAATGCCACAATTGCAGGTACATATAGCTTTAGTTCACAACAACAAATTTACTCTATCTGGTGTCCTTTAAGTGTCTTAATAGACTGTTTTCTAAGAACAAACATTTATGTACTTAATGTAAAAGTGTTACAATAAGTTTATAGGACGGTATTGAATGTATTTAACAAGTTTTTTTAGGACATTTTGAAATGTAAAATCTGATTAATTTTTTTATTTGATATTATTTGAAAAAAGTGTACTATAAAAACAAGTATCTTATAAAAAGATGTATTCACATGACACTTTTGAAAAGTTTCATTTAAATAACTAATAAGACATTTTACTTCAGGTAAGAGTCCTAGAAAACGTGTTAAGGTGTCCAAAATTGTCATACAAATTTATTGTAATACTTTTACGTAGTAAACATAATTGTTTGGTCCTATTAAGACACTTGGACGTCTTACAGACCCAATTTTGTGCAGTTGTTATGGTTTTCCATGATGTTGATCATAATCTAATGATGCATGCATGCAGGAGCTGTTCTTTATATCAAAAAGGAATTTCATTTAGAAACACAACCTACAATTGAAGGGCTAATCGTTGCTATGTCACTAATCGGTGCCACGGTGATCACTACATTCTCCGGACCCGTATCAGACACCATCGGAAGGCGGCCAATGCTCATAATTTCTTCGATGTTTTACTTTATTAGTGGTCTAGTGATGTTTTGGTCTCCTAATGTTTACGTTTTGTTAATCGCAAGACTTCTTGATGGATTCGGGATTGGTCTGGCTGTCACACTTGTGCCCCTTTATATATCGGAGACCGCCCCATCGGATATCAGGGGGTTGTTGAATACTTTTCCACAATTTACGGGTTGTATTGGAATGTGTTTAGCGTATGCTATGGTGTTCACTTTGTCGTTAAGATCCAACGCCAGTTGGAGAATGATGCTTGGCGTTCTTTCGATTCCTTCCATTGCTTACTTCTTATTGGCGGTGTTTTTCTTGCCGGAATCTCCACGGTGGTTGGTGAGTAAAGGGAAGATGGATGAGGCTAAAATCGTGCTGCAAGCACTTCGCGGCACGGAAGATGTTTCAGGTTCGTTTCACGAACTCATTCCGTCAATGTTTGGTGGATTGCTTTAGTACGACATAAAACATGCTTAAATGTCATAATAGACCATTTTATAGGACTTAAGTGAAGATTAATAAGACGTTTTATTTCAAAGTGTACTAAAAAACTTGTTAGGATGCTCAATAAGTCTTATCAACTTACTGTGAAGAGGAATAAGATGTTCCATTCCAAAAGTGTACTAAAAAAACTTGTTAGGACGCTCAAAAACGTCTTATCCACTTACTGTAAAGGTTAATAGGATGTTTTATGTTTAAAGCGTCATAAAAAAACTTGTTCAGATGTTCAAAAACGTCTTATCAACTTATTATAACACCTTTATATAAGACGTTGTCTATTAAAACATTTAGACAGATTTGGTATATTATAAACCCAATTTTGTAGTAGTAGATAACACTTAGATATTTATGCGGGCATGGATCGTTTTTCAGGCGAAATGGCATTACTAGTTGAAGGTCTAGAAGTGGGAGGCGAAACGTCTGTAGAAGAGTACATCATCAGTGCCGATAACGAACTTAGCGAAGATCACGTAGAAGAGAAGGATCAGATCAAGTTATATGGGGCCGAAGAGGGTCAATCGTGGGTGGCTAAGCCGGTTAGAGGTCAAAGTTCTCTAGTCCTGGCTTCACGCCAAGGAAGCATTTCCCACATGATGGATCCAATGGTGACTCTATTCGGAAGTATCCACGAAAAACAACACGAAGGCGGAAGTAAAAGTTTGATTTTCCCGAATTTTGGTAGCATGTTCGGGGGAGATCAACAACATAAAGCGGAGAACTGGGACGTTGAAAGCAATCACGATAAGGGAAATCTATCGGGGGACGAATCTGATGATCATAATCTTCGGAGTCCTTTGCTATCGCATTACTCAACAGAAGTCGATAAAGATGTGGCTGCACCTGCTTCTAAAGGGAGTATGTTAAATATTCGACAACCTAGTGAGACGACTAACGCCATGGGGATCGGTGGCGGGTGGCAGTTGGCGTACAAAAAGACCGATGAGGGGAAGAAATCTGGCGGCCTTAAGCGGATTTACCTTCATCAGGAGAGTGGTGCTGGTTCTGGTGCTGATTCTAGGCGCAAATCTGTTACTTCGTTTGCTGGTGCAGGTGATCATGGTGAAGTGGTTCGTGCCTCAGCTCTTGTGAGTCGATCGGTTTTGTGTCTAGATGACGCAGCTGGTCCGAACGCACTTCAGTCGGGTGTGTTCAAGCCCCCGCCTTCGACTAAAAAGGGGTCAAGTTGGGCTGAACTTTCCGAGCCTGGTATCAAACAAGCGTTGATTGTTGGCGTAGGGATCCAAATACTTCAACAGGTGAATCGATAGGTTTGAACTTCACTTCGTTTTGCGGTAACAAAATCTGGTTTATAGAACGTCAAAAATGTCCCGGTGTCTTAATAAACTACTTTATAAGACTAAAGTTTATGGGACCAGACTAAAGTTTATGGGACCAAACAACTGTGCATGTGCATTCTATGTAAATGTGTTATAATAAGTTTATAAGACTTTTTTGAACGTCTTAACAAGTTCTTTATTAGGATAGTGTCATATTAGTTTTTTTATAGCGACACTCTGGAGAAGTTACCTATGAATACATCTTTTTTATAGGAGACTTGTTTTTATAAGATATTTTTTTGGAATGATGTTATAAAAAAGTTAATAGGATGTTTTATTTCAATGTATGGTAAAACTTGTTAAGAGGCATAAAAGAGTCTTAAAATATATCGTACCAATTTTAGATAGAAAACACAATATTTTGGTCATATAAAATAGTCTATTAGGACAATTACATATTGTTCGCGTCCTATAAACCAGATTTTGTTGCATTGCGTACACCCTCCAAGACCCTAATTCTTATGGATTTACTGGGTTCATTTGGTTTGGTTTTAGTACTTTTGACATGTATGTGTTAACGGATTCTTTTGAATTGAAACAGTTTTCTGGAATAAACGGGGTTTTGTACTACACCCCTCAAATTCTTGAACAAGCGGGCGTCGGGATTCTTTTGGCGAACATGGGAATTGGTTCAGAATCGGCTTCTTTTCTCATCAGCGGTGTCACGACGTTCTTGATGCTTCCTAGCGTTGGTGTTGCCATGAAGCTTATAGATATTGCTGGTCGAAGGTAAATTCTTTCTTCTTTAGGAAAGTTAACATTTTTCATTCCGATCCAAATTTGGTATATTGATCCATTAGGTAGTATGCCAAAGGTAAATTCTTTCTTCACTACCACAAATTCGTGTTTATAGGACATCAAAAATGTCCGAGTGTCGTAACAAACTATTTTATAGGATTTAAGTTTATAGGACCAAATACTCGTATGTACTATCTAAAAATGTTGTAATAAATTTATAAACTTTTTTGGGCGCAATAACAAGTTTTTTAAGACATTTTTTATAAAAAACAAAAAAAACGTTGTATTTGCTATTTTACATGACGCTATTTGAAAAAGTGTCTGATGAAAACAAATGACACTATAAAATAGCTAATATAACGTTTTGAGAAAAAAATTGTCCCAAAAACTTGTTAAGACATCCAAAAGCGTCTTATAAACGTAATGAGACATTTTATTACTTGGTCCTATATACTTAAGTCTTATAAAGTGGTATATTGAGACAATTAGAAACTGTTGGCGTCTTATAAACTCAACTTTATGATAATCGTTAGTGTTGAAGTACTCTTTTCACCTGGGTATGAATCCAGGTGAGAGCGTATCGACACTATTTTTACAACAAATTTACCAATATTGAACCATTTTTTCATCGTTTTCTCCCAGGATGCTGCTCCTAGCCACGCTACCGATACTTCTTATATCACTCATCGTACTAGTTGTGAGCAATACCATTCCTATGCGGTCCGATATCCACGCCGTTATCTCCACCATAAGTGTCGTAGTTTACTTTTGCACCTTCGTGATGGGCTTTGGTCCGATCCCCAACACACTTTGTTCAGAGATCTTTCCTACCCGCGTTAGGGGTCTCTGTATCGCCATTTGCGCACTTACATTTTGGGTAGGTGACATTATCGTGACTTACACACTTCCGGTGCTACTAACCACCATTGGCCTTGCGGGTGCTTTTGCAATCTATGCGGTCGTGTGTACCATCTCTTGGTTTTTCGTTTACTTCAGAGTGCCCGAAACAAAGGGTATGCCACTTGAAGTCATTACAGAATTCTTCGCCATGGGTGCTAAGAAGACAAATTGATCGGATTCATAAGATCGAACGCTCTATCGGATATGACGTTTTTGATGATATGACAAAGCTTGAGATCGAGAAACTGTGTGCCGAGACACTGAGAAAAATCAAATAAGTTTGTTACGAGTCACGTCCTAGTCTGTAACCGAATTGTTTCTTCACCTTAAATTTCTATTTCATTGAGGATACTGATCGTATTTCTTTGAAAACTTTGATTAATTTGAGCCAAGTTATTTCACACCTATGTTTTGTTTCAGATTTATTTTAAATGTCAGCTTAGTTGGCAAATGAACGAGTTGACTTCGTACAAATATAAGACAGGTCCTAAATTCGGTTCCAGGCCACTTGCTAGTCTCGGTCGTTGAATGAGCCAAAAAATATCTCTCACATCGGTATCCTTGGAGGCGGAGTTCTATATGGAACCAGTTAAGGTTGTCGGTAACTCTTTGACCAAATCAAAAAATAATTGATAAGCAATAAATATTTAAATATTGCATGATTTCACATGACCTAAAACTAGAGACGGACCTATGAAGGATTTAGCGGGATCTCGTATACCAATTCAATCGATTTTCTCATGCACAATATTTTTTGGGCATAAAATGTACGTAAGTTTAACTTTGAGCAGTGTTCAAGATATTAGAAAATACAAGAGACATTAATCAATAAACCGAAAAAGTCAATGAAAATCAACCAAAAAACATCCAAAAAAAGACCTTTGAAAACGATGAAATTTGATTAAATACACATCGAGTTTACGTTAAGACATCGTCTTACGTCTTGCTCAAAATATCGATTTCCTTTGAAAAATAGATTTTATTCTCTAAATCAGAGAAATTGACTTTTCACAAACGGCAAATCGCACCTTAAACAGCAACAAGAATGAACAGTAGTTGCAAATATGTCAATGGTTAGGATTTTATATATGTTCCAATGGATGATCAAATGTTACATGTAGAAAGTGCATAAAAAGGCACCATTATCAAACGATAAAATAAAATAAAAATATCCTAATCTAAATATCTTCAAAAGCTTTGAAAATTCCACAATTGTAATGATCATGCTTTGAATTTTACTTTTTCTAAGGATAAACTACGCATTAAAATTTTTATATCAAGATCAAATCTTTATTTTTATTTCCTTTGTTCTAAAAAATATTTCCTTCTAATAAAACCTAATTATTTTTTTTATTTTAAATATTAAGTCTTTAAATTTTATTTTTATAAAAATAAACCATTGAATTTTTTCATTTTAAAATGATTAACTCTATAGATATTTTTTTTAAATAAACTATTTGACTTTTAGAAATTGATTACCTACATTTTTTTAACCCAAAAAAGCTACATGTATCCAATTAAAAGATTTTGTAGTAAAAAAAACTTAAATTAGTTTTACTATTCTCAATCCCAACGTCATTCAAACCCATTACAACCATTGGCATCTCTCCTCTAGCCACCCTTGACCGTCTAACACCTAGATTTTTGTACGTATAATAAACCCTGAAATGATCAAGCAAAAGAAGCATTTAAGCTTATGGGGTAAGATGCGACCCTTGTGCTGCGACCCTAGAGTCGTAATGCCAAAGTCGCATATGATGTACTCTAAGTAGCAAACTTCTCAAGGTTGGGGCTACCCTTGCACAGCGAGGCTAGGGTCACAAGGTTAAGGTTGTGAGAGGTCCCAAGGCGAAGGGTCTTGGACACGGACGACCCTAGGGTCGTGAGCCAAGGTCACATAATCCTCCTATTGGTTAAAATGGCGATCTTCTAAGATTTTTCTCATTTTTATCCCACCACTCTCATCCTTTTCCTCTCTTGGCAATTTTGCACCATGAGGGACAACTCTTGGGAGCTTTTGGAGAATATAGAGAGTAGATCTTATGGATTGAAAGTCTATAAAGGGAGATTCCAAGTTTTGAAGAGGTAAGCCCCTTTGAGTATTTTTGAGATCTAGGTTTGGGTTTTGTTGCGAATATTGTGGGTGATTTTGATGCATCTCTAGACTTGGGTTGAGTTATGGAGAGAGTTCATAAGGAGATTTGCTTATGGATCTCAGATTTTTTATCTTTTGGATGCTAAAGTTTGGGGTTTGGAACCAAAGGGCCTTTGACCTAGCAGTATATGAGTCATTGGCCTTCTAGGAGGTCAAGAGTTCAAACCTCATCAAATGTGAGGAGGATGTGTGAGTTTATTTGTTCTATTTGCCATATATAAATATTATATACTTCAAAAAAAAAAGTTTGGGGTTTAGAATCTAGGTTTAACCTAACCTAGCAAGGTGAGTTCAAGTTGTTTTGTGAAAACTTTGTACATGCCAAAAATGTTCTTTTTGAAGTATTAATGTGTCTTACTTAATATTTATTAAATGTATGGGTTATTTAGTGAGTTTCACATATTTGGTATACTTGATTTTATAAATATCATGAGATACTTGTATTTGGAGTTTTTTGACATTTTGATGAATATTTTTATGATTTATCTAATAAATGGATATTATTTGGTGCTAATGCATTTTTTTTAGTTTAAAAAATGCATGTTATTATGTTATGAGACATTTTGAAAATATAAATGATATTATTTCATTTGGAAAATAGCTTGTCCCAATCAATGATGAGTTTTTGAGTTAATGATGTATTTAGAGCATGTGTTTGCATATACAATGGTTAAATACGTTTTTATTTCTTAAGATGACTTTTATCTAATAATTAATTGAGTTGTTGAGCTTTTGGTTCGGTTTTAACTCAGATGAGTCTTGGGAAATTTGTTTGATTTAATTTTCTGTACGTTAATTTTTGGAGTTATATGCAGTTATATCATATTTATTTGGAAATTTACATATTTTTAGTGCGTTGGTCACTCAATTGCTGCTCCGTAATTTAGACTATAATGTAATGGGTCCATAAGCATAGGAGTCAGTTTGATCGTTTGGAACGAAACTGTCCCCGTATTCTTGCTAGAAACTGGGATGTAACAGGAGACTCGAGCTACAGGCAGTGGGTAGTTGAACTTGATGACCGTATGATCCACAGTAAGAGAATCAAGCTATAGACCATGGGTGATTGAACTTACTGGTCATGTTGTAAATAAGCAGTCTATCAATTTTACTATTTTATAATTATGATGAAAACTACTTAAACTCATTGGAAGTTAAGCTTAACATTTTTATTTGTCGGTACATGTATTAGGTCATTGTTGGGAAGGGTACTAGCAACACTGCTACGAATTGAGTGCTAGTTAGAGATGTGAGAAGGATCTAGCTTTCGTTGACGTCTTCCGCATTTGGTGTTCGATTGTTCTTGTGTTTTAGTAGCATCCGACCTTGACATAGTCTTTATGAAAGGCTTGGTTTATTAATTGTTGGTGTTAAATCTGGATTTGATATTCAAGGTAAATCAAGTATTGATTTACAGAAAGGGGTTTATCATTTATTTGATGTATTGTTGAAAATTTTACATTAGTCGCTCTTTCCAAATTTGAACAGGCCTTCCAATCGTTGTCCTCTCTCCATTACCGCTCACTGTTGTCATTGCTCTTACCATTGATCTTCTTCTTCTTCTTTTTATCTATTTTTTGTCTTTAGATTTTCCCTCTTTTCCAACTAGTCAATAAAGTACGTATAGACAGATAAAAAAGGAGAATTAAGAAACAAAAAAAACAAATAAAAAAATAGGGAGATGGTTGGGCCCAATGATGGTGATAGAGAAGAGACGATGATGGGTGGTGAAGGGGAGCAATATGGTTGGGCCCAATGATGGTGATAGAGAAGAGACGATGATGGGTGGTGAAGGGGAGCAATATATAGTGTTGGGTGCATGGGGTTTGAATAGCATTTGGTTTGAAAACCGTAAAACTCATCTAGATTTTTTTGTACTTTAAAACTAATCTAGCCAATTACTAGTAGCCTTTTTGAGTTAGAAGAATATAAGTAACCGATTTTAGAAGTTTGATGATTTATTTATTCATACATTAATCATATAAAATGAGATAGTTCAATGGTTTATTTATGAAAAAAAAAACATGAACTTAAAATATTAAAACCTTAAAGTTGATTAGATTTTTCTAGAGTTTTCCCTTAAAAATACACACAATTTTAAAAATATGTAGTTATTACATTTTTTTTAATTAACTAAAGAACAAGTTTATAATTAATAGTAGAGAGATTTTCTTCTCAATCTCATAATTAATGATAAAATTGGAAAGTAGACATTTATTTTAAGACAAACTAAAATAAAATTGTGAACACTTATTTTAGAACAGAAAGTATATATTTTTAATGTTTTGATTTGATTAAAACTTAATAAATTTCTAAAAATACCTTAATTTAAATAAACTTATAACAAAAGTACCTTTATTATATAGTTTTTGTATTTTAAAATTGTTAATGCTCTAAAACATTATTAAGAAGATAAACCCTAACCTTCATCACTTGGCAAAGTGGAAACCAACCATAAGTTCCTATCAAAGCATGTGATAACACTGGCTGTCTTTCAATTTTTGACCAAATCAATTTATATCCAATTTTTCTTTGTATATACAATTATAATATTAATGCTGGTCTTTCATTCTGACTTTAAATTATTTTTAACTAACTACAAGGGTGGTGTCTGATTGGTTTGAGCATGACTCCAAAGGTTAAAAGTATCAGGAGGTACCAGGTTCAAATCCAATGAGAAATAAAAATCTTCTTGTGGCCACGGAGGTTCAAATGCGGTGACTCCGGGCTATCTGCAAAGCATGTGGTCGTCCTGGGATTAGTCGGCTCGCATAGCGGGTTGGATATCCAGGTTTAAAAAAATATTTTTATAAAATGTCTTTTTAAACAAAAATGAATACTTTGTATTTTTATTTTTATATAAAATTATAATGATTTTTTGTATTTTTACTTTTATATTTTATCCAAAAACTATTTACTGAAAACTATAATGATTTTTTGTATTTTTACAGAAGTAATTGTTAATTTACATATAGAAGTTAAGTGCGATGGTTAAATTATTTAGTTGATTTATTACT